TCAAATTTGAACTTTCCAATATACAATTTGCCGTAATCGCCACGCATCACGCATGGCAGGCGGATAGGTTTAGCATCTGATCAAAGTAACAATGAATAAAATAATTTAAAAAAGTAATATAAAGTTCTGTCTGTCGTGTTCGGGTAATGGAAGGGTAGGGGTGTTGGCCCACCAATCGGTCGATCGTCGATCGATGGTGGAATGCATAAGTTGACGTCGTTCGATAGTTTCTACCACACATGGAATGCCTTTGTAAACGCTGCTGAATCTAAGAAACTGCTAAACACGATTCGCGGATTGCACAATGGTTTCCCGTTGTTGCTCTTAGAAATAGGCGTAAATGTGATGGTGATGATGATGAAGGAATATCATTTTTTAGAATCCACAAGATCTTCCAAACATTTATTTCATTAGACTTTTACGCACCTATAGAACGAGAAATGTAATAGATTTGTGTCATGAGACTGACAACTCACGATTATATCTTATCATCGGTTTATAGAATTTATTAAAATCTGGTCATACAGGCAGAGATTTTTATTATCAGATTACATTAAGTTATCGATTATACAATTAAAATATTACTAAAAATAAAACATACTTAGATAAGTCGATAAATGATGATTCCGCTGAAAAATTATTGTGCTACTATTATTTTATATTGCCCTATGATAGGGATATATTTGATTATGATAGGCCTATATTCATTCAGCACTAGACTTTTTCGAGGCTGTAATGAAAGCATGATCGAATGATTACTGTAACCATTTTATCCGAGATCCCCATTTCAAAATAGATTAGATTTATAATCAACGAAAAAACGAAAACAAAAATAATGTATTAGCCGCGGCGTCACTAAGCGGGTGCCCCAAAAGTTTATGCATTCCTTCTTTTACAAATGATGACCTTAAATTTTGTTGTATATATATCGTTCTTTGTGACCCGAGTCCCTGGCTGGACTCCAATTTTCTTATAATGTTTGTTATAGGCCTTAGAAGATACCGCGATCAGCAATATTAATGCTTGAAGTGACGTATTATTTCACAGGAATCAACTAGTGTCAAGTATTACCATGTTTATATTGTACCCGATGTTACAACATTAAAAAAAAACTTTTCTCTTTTTTTACTGAATTCAAATTATAAATTCGAAACTGATCGATTTGCTGCCATTTCGAAGATTATTATTTGATTTAGTAAAATAACATTATAGAGTGGCGTTAAAGAAAATAAAATTGCAGTGATTGATTTTGCAGACAATGGGATCGAGACGAGACGTCAACCATTTTAAGACGCTTCAAAAGCTAGGCATAATGTTTGTTTCTTATCGCACTATCGACAGGTACAACAATTCCTCTGTCGACGGCCATAAAAGTTAAAAGTTCAAAATTTATAAGACCTGAAAGGACTGGCTGTTGTCTAGTACAGATCAACCCGACGGAACTTAAATTGTGGTCAGTACTAAGAGACATGGCCTGCTTAAGACGTGAGGTACCTACGACAATAAGAGTCTGTAAAGAAATCTTGAGAGATATTAATGGCAAAATTTGTCATGGAGACAGTGTGTCTTATATAATATAAATATCCATAGAATACACGTGATCAGAGATTTTAAAGGTTTCAAAGTCTGTATCAAAGCTAAAAGGGGCCATTGAATAAAACGGTTTTTAATTAATCGCTTAGACATCAATAAATATGTACGTATTTTTACAACACAAGTTTTATTATTTTTGCACTGTTTTTAGAAACATATTATGCATTTTCTGCCGACTTCCAGATAGAGACGGTATTCAATTCAACTGTATGTTTTTTTTTATGTGTGTTACCTCAAAACTGGGTGAACCGATTTCGATGATTCTTTTTTTATTTGAAAGCTGGTACTTCTCGTGTAGTCCCATAAGAATTTGATGAAGGTCAGACCAATAGTTTTTGAATTATTCTTAATAACTTATACTGAAGTCGGCTGTACAAAATTTTTAATTTTAAATTGTAATGTGCAACAGAACTTATGACCATGATCGGTATATTTGATATAATATAATATCTTCTGTCCATCGCTGCGCATAGGCCACAGGTGGATTAGCGATCGGAGTATCAGATGTTTCTCACTATAGTGCTATTTTGCGATAATAATATTAAGATGAGTTACTGTAAAAAGTTCATGTTTTAGAAATCGTTTGACAGAGGATTTTTAAGGAGTAACCAAAACCGTTGGTAAATCTCAACTGGGAAAATATAAAATAAAGTAGATATATATACGTCGATTCACTACCGCTCTACAATAGATCTAACTGGAATCGATTTCATCCGTTTACGTAACAAGAAACGTATCGTACCTATCAGGCAATTGTGCGACAATAACCGGTAATTTTCTGGACGCATAATTCGCAGTGGATGAGACACTAGCTCGACATAAGCACTGTTATGTTGCACGCATGGTTTGTATGGAATGTAACGTAATATAACGTGATCTAATATTTGGAATAAAAATAATGCCTCTATAAGTTATAGACTATAACTACCTAGGGAGTTATTCAATTAAAATCAAATTATTTGTTCCATTTTAAAAGGGCAGTTTTATAGCTAAATTTATATAAAGGGTTTTGATTGTTATTACGTACTAGTTTGATACGAAAGAAAGCTTTCAACTATAATGTAATAATCATGGAAGATTTTTAATCTCACTTCTGAATTGAAAACAAGTTTGTTCAAACAGATTGTTTGTGTAGAAGACAATACCACAAAGTAAGCCCAATTAATAAGAATAAAAGATTCAGAACAGACAGAAACAGTCACCTTACATCGCCCCCAAAAAAGCTAGTCATTTGAATGTGGCTCTGACCAAATGTCTGAATATTATTTGAGTTTAGTTGAAGATATAAATGTAAAACGAGTATTTGGTAATACCTCCGACCACTTTGTGAAGTAGTCAGTCAGCACAACCGTAATAACAACAAGTAAAACCTAAACAAAAACTTAAATCCTGCATTTAACGATGATCTTTGTATAATGTACGATGAAAGTTCTTCGTTGTTTCCACTTTCGAAATTCCCAGCCTCACTTTATCTTGTAATTCGAGGCAAAAGCAAATATAGTAGATACTGTGATAGGAACACAAAGGGTCTCATTGTGCTCGTTGCGAGAGCATCTGCCGCGCCGGATGACCGCGTCACACATGCGAAACAAATCGAATATGACCACTGCTGATCAGATTACTTAATGGTCCTGAGTCTCCTGAGGCATGCGTTAAATCATCATGTTTATACAATGTATTTGGTTATGTACACACATGGATATTACTAACTTTACCACGTGTATGTACCATTTTGTATAGGTAATATACTGGATACAAACCAGCCAGAGTGGCGATGGAAGGCATTGTCGAAGGTGCAAGGCACTCCGCATTACGGTAATGCTTTTCAATCCAAACGCGGAGATTACTTTTTTACACCCTTTATAAGGGGAAGGCTCATACTAGGATGTTTAATTATTTATATGCAGATAAACCCTGTGATGGCAGCGTAAACGTGAGAGAATCCTCCACATCATATCGTCTCTTGATTGTTGTAATCGTAAGAGTCGAAGAGTGTGTATTGACTAACACACACACGCTATTTCTCAAGAGCAATGAGCAACTGAACATGTTTGTTCTATATTAGTACCTCTCATTTTGTGAATTTTCTGGCCACGTTACTAATAAGATAAGTGCTAATTCCTTTGCTAATACATTGCGTACAGTGTCATGGTACATACATAACAGTACGCAACGCATTAAATTTTATATAAAATGCGTTATGCCAATGACTCACTCATTCATCACAAAATCTCCTAAACTATACGTCCAATTGACTTGAAATTTGACATAATATACTCTTTCTCGACGTAGACACCCACTATGAAAGGATTTTGGAAAATTCAACCTCTGGGTGGGTAAAATAAGGTGTTATATGTCTTGTCTTGTTACTAACAGTCGATAAATATTCAAATAGTCGTACAAAACTAGTCTCCACTTTTTTAATAACAGCTTTATAAAGAAATGGTATTATGCAATTTTGTTCTTTTTTATACTAGATCCCTCTGGATGCCTAGTCACAAGGCATTATGATTATGATGTGAGAACGATCTTAAGCGGAGAGATTGCGGAAAACGCGCAAACAACTCACCATCACGACCGGACGAAGCAATCGCATGCTCCCGGTTCCGCGGAGGGACGGGATAATTGTACGCGCGATGACGTCACGCTCGCTCTCATTGTAGTTATAATAACTTTATCTTAAAAAATAGTACAGGTCACATAAAAAAGCGTAAAAGAGCAGGTGACAGAACAATCAAAGAAATTTAAGTTCAGTAATTGTAAATAAAGCGAAGAAGAATCCGTAAGACCGCAAACGTTAAATTCGAAAACAAAAATATCGCGCATAATATAACGAATGTATAAAATAGTTTGTTGTTGTTTTTTTCACGTGCAGTATAAGAAATTCTTAACAGATAATAGCGTACTGATAAATTTAAATATCACCATCCGCCACCGCCGCCGCCGTGCGTTACCGAACATAGGCCTTAAGGAATTAACACAATGCACGATCCTGAGCCAACTGTATCCACCGCCTTCCTGTATCTCTTACTGGGTCGTCACACCATCTAGTACAGAGCCGCCACTTCGCTTACCGGTACGAGGAGGGAACCATTCTTCTAGAAGAAAGTTTCTCTCCTCGTAAAAGAAATGAGCAACATTTACTAGTAAGAAATTAGAGCCATGTCTAGAAGAGCTTATAACTTCTAAACACATTTGTTGTCACTCCTAGAAAACTGTTTTGAATTTTAAATATAATTGTGCAAGATGTTAAACTGTGCAAAAATTACATAAAAAAATTTCAGTCCCTTATAGTATGACTTGCGTTATCTATTATTAACACTCACGCGTTAAGTGATGTCAAAATGTAGAGAGGAATCGGGTAGGGAGAACGTCAGCTCTTTTTAGTGTTTGATGTTTGAATTTCAGTGCCAATTTCGCCCTAGAGTAATTTTCACCGCGATTTAAATTAGTTTTTTTGCTTTATAGGTCAATTTGACGATGACTTGTAAATCTTGTTTCTACGTCATTGTTTTTTGCATCAGTTGTTACGTAACGGAACGGCCTGAAAATGTAAACGCAATACTAGTGGTACGGGGTCACCCCACTACGCGACGGTCATGATTAGGGGCTGAACGCGACATTAGTACAATGGAAGCAATGAACAACACGCGTCGCTTCACCATGATGCCGGGTCCAAAACCGTTGCCGTTACTGGGCAACTCGTGGCGATTCGCGATCGGTCTCAAACCATGGCAAACTCTCAGCTTGGATCGTACATTGTGGTATTTAAAAGCTCTAGCTGGGTCAAGTGGAGTCGCTAAGGTGGCCAAGTTATTTGGGCATCCGGATTTGGTATTCCCGTTCTGCGCTGAAGAGACGGCAAGGATATATAGGCGAGAAGACTCAATGCCACATAGAGCTGTTGCACCTTGCCTCAAACATTATAAACAGGAGTTGAGGAAAGAGTTTTTTGGAGAAGAACCTGGGCTTATCGGAGTGTAAGTAAACGCCCTTTGTCCTTATCAATAATTAATAAAATTTAAATTTTTTCTTATTTTTATTAAGAATTTGGCAAAGCGTTTTGCCAATTCGGGCTATAAAATTCCACTGGCAAACATCGGCCTCACGACAGATTGCCTCATAAGAGGGATTTTGCCAAAGTTGCAATTAGCACCCGCAGTTTTTATTTTCTTAGGAACTCTGCTGCCCATCTCTTGGTTTGAGTAGTAGTAGGTCTGTGTAGCCTCTTACGACACCCACGTTTTAACATAAATAACTGAATTATCCAAGAAAGTATGATTTTTAAATCATTTAGTTTTTCACTGAAAAACTTGACTTTTAATTGCTTCAACATAATTTTTAATAGCTTCTTTCACAAAGATAAAAGATATTTAGATTTAGATTCTGTTGATTACATCATTTAAGATTATATTTTGAGGCTAATAGATATGCATATTTAATATTGTAAATACAGACGAACAAACCACCTGATGATAAGTGGCTGCAGCCAATGGGTACTAGTTACCAACTTGAAACAAAAGAGACGCGTTTTCACCACGTAGGGCTAAGATGTCTCAGAATGCCTCACAGTCTGTAATAGCTAAATAAGTGAAAGAAATACGCATGTTGTCAATGTACAAAATATATTTAAGTTTTTTATTTTTCATTTCTGTCATCATACAGACATGGCATGCCATGGTCGAAATTTCGATCGAAAGTATCAAGAGCTCTCATAGCCCCAGAGGCTGCGAGGGCAGCGGTGCCATCTTTAGATCATGTGGCTGAAGATTTTGTTTTGAGGTAAATATACGTATTTCTTTGTATTTAATCACAACTTTATATAAGTATAAAATATTTGTAATGCTATGAGCGTTATTTAATACTTGTGTTTACCATTCCACGGATGCTTTTTAGTCGCAGTTTTGGGTTTACTTTAGTCGCAGTTTTGGGGTGACTTTATTCGAGTGGTGGATTCAAACTAACGACTTTTATGGTAACGGTCTGCAGTTTTAACCGCTAGGTACTGTCGCTTCAATACAATGCTTAATTTTTAATAATAGTTATTGTTAAGGTAGAGCTAGGCTGCATTTTTTAAAACCAATAATTCATTCATTTAAACAATCAAAACAATAAACTGTTAAAATATTTACTACCAAGCCAAATAAGACTTAATACTATACATTCACGACTATCGACAAATCATGTGCGTAAGTAACAACTTGTATCTTACATATCCTACCAAATAATATGATATTAAAGTAGTTCTTCTTGACAATATACACAAAATAAACTGTTGATAATATATTATTGTTACTTATCTCATGTAATAATAAAGAGAAAAATTGTAATGGGCCAAAACATTAACTTGAAAATTATAAAATCCACATAATGTAAAAAAAAAATATTAGCTAAACTAAACATAATATTAAAATAATTTATTAATTAATTATATCAATCAATCATTAGTCATCAATTAATTAGTATCAACTTATTAAGAATAGACAAGGCTGTGAATCCTACTTTATGCAAGTAATACCAGGAAGTGCACCAGAAATTAATCATTGTGTTATATATTAAATATAAACATGAATTAATTTGTCCACACCTCAATACCCACAAAGCTGTTAAAGCGGATAAACAAGAAAATCCTATTCGAATATTTGATATGAATAAGTGGATAGCTCATTTCGAGGTGCGTCGGAATCATTAAGGTAACTTATATGAGTGCCTGATTTCTTGATAATTACGATAAAATAAAAGTTACCTCAATTATTTCGTTTCGTGCTATACCTGTTATTATAACTGGAATTAATCCAAAAAAGAAATTTCTCTAATCGGTCAATTATTACAGCTTACCATTTATTATTGTTTAAAACGTAAGCTACCAACTAGAGCAATGACTTACTAAAACAAAGGAAAAGAAAATGTATACTATAATATAATACATATGACTTGGTATTAACGTACATACATTGGGTAGGCACCGAATTATATATCTATATATCTATATCTATATAACAATCACCGACACATTAATAATATCTCAAATAAGCAGCTTTTCAAACGGTGGTTTTTCTTCCTCTCTTTCGGCGAGAGCTCGTGGTATACCAACGCTAAAAATTTAAATTAACAACTTCATCGCCAAATTCACACTTAAGCTAAATATGAAATCTAAGGCGAACGTCCAGCCTCTGACGCTACCACGGCTTAATTATACATCCACACTAAAATTTTTATCTGAAGAACAGATAAACTATGCCCAGAATTTTCACATATTGTATTAAGGAAAACCAAGAGACAACGCGTCAAAATGAACATGAAAGCATTTCTGTTTCTGGAGTTCTGGACCGTGGACAGAAGCTAGTTAACATACCTTCTTTCTATTGACGTATGCTGATTTTTGAAAAAATAAGAATTGCTTTACTATTTTTAGTGATACGGAAAGATAGACATTTTGTGGAAATGAAAACTCTTCCACGTAATTAGAAATATTATTGATATATTCGTGCAACAGGAAGTCAACAAGACATATGACATGTTTGTTTAAATAAGTACTTAAGCGAAGATTAACACAGCAGAAGCTTAGTGTTTGCTTTACAAGATCTTTGGGAATGTCACCTTCCAGTACGGCTTCTACAATTGAAAAGATGATTTTACACGTGGTAGATCCACGCTGCAGCTATATTATACTCGTAGTTTTGTAGCACGAATGGATCGGCTCGACCGGAGACCACGCTCTAAGAGAATACCAACATAAATTAGCTTTTTACCGGAAACGAGGCATTCCATCTTAGTCCTCAGGGGAAAACGCATCTGCATTTTAATTCTTAATCGAGTATAGATATAGATGTCTATGGGCCACAGCATCCAGTTACCATCAGGTTGACTGTGTGCTTGTTTGTCACCCTATTCTATATAAAATAGTATAACACTACTAAACTTGATCGATTATGCATTTTAAGTTATATTAGATTTTTAAGTATTGCATGCCGTAATCGCCTAAGCGCGTCGGTATGTTCTACTAGGGCCTAAAATTTTAAAAATGTACATATAAGATGATTATTTGACTTTTAAAAACTATGACGTCATTAAACTATATTCTCATGGAATTTCTATAGAAACGTTTGTTGTCAAACAACTCTTAAAAATTGTTCAATCTACTAGATTGTCAATTACCCAATTTGTGCTAAGTTGAGATTATGAGAGAAGTGAGACCGCGGTCCAATGAATTGTGTGACAAACTTTGTCACCATAGTAGTGGGGTTCAACAGGCAGACTGCTGAATCTCGGTTTAACGAGCACATCCCGTTACCGACAGTTTGCGCATTTGTTTTGTGGCGCCCTCGTGAGTCACAGCGGGAAACAACAAGCCTCGTTCAATGAAAATGCACCGTTGCGATTGACTTCTGTACAACGCAGGAAGTTTAACATCTATTTCAGGGAATAATAACTTGGCGCTAATGAATAATGGAATTATTAAAAATTACGGATTAACTTTTATAGTATAATTACAACATATTTTCATCTTAGAATTTCCGTACATTATGATTTCTTTTTTATTATATGTCCCATAGTAACATGGGACAACACCAATATCATAATAATAATACAATAACTTATTAACGTATAAATTTAATATTTTATACTTGCTGTTGTTGTCACTTGGTGAAACTTAATCTTTAATAAGAAATAAATATTATAAGTGAAACATGTTAGTGTCAATCCTATATAAATGAGTGCTTAGATTCTTATCACGATATTAACGTGATAAAATAAATCGTTTCAAAAAGTAGGACAACTATGTTTAAAATTGATTTAATAAATCACTACTTATTCATAGAATGGAGAAAATCCTCGACGAAAAATGCGAGCTGCCACAGAATTTTCTAACGGAACTCTACAAGTGGGCTCTTGAATGTAAGTAAAATTTGTATTTAATAATTTAAATACTAAAATTCAATCTTTCATGTCAATGCCCCAGAAATATTTCACATTATGATCACAAGTCTTAACAGTATATGATGTATCTATTTAGTACACATGTGACAGAACGTGACCATTGTTGCTACAGATACGCATGGCAGTATGCACTTTGGATTAACGTCCCTTACCTTAAACTTTACTTTTAAATTAGATAAGCATTTGAAAAATATCTCACAATGCGTAGTGAAAAAGCAAAATCGTAACCAAGACAAATATTAGTACCTACGGAAACGTGAGTTACCACTATTATTCGACAATATGAAATTATGATCTTGAATTAATTTTGTTAAATAGAACATACGAAATTAACCTAATTCTAATATCATTTTCTTTAACTGATAATCTTTGTCATCGATGTGAAAGTAATGGATCACTATTTGACTAACAGTCAAAATAAAGTACCATTATTTAAATATTACATACAGCATACGTAATTAGCGTCTAATTTAAATGTTATTATTAATAAAATACAATCTTGCGTAGAGAAGCAGTGCTAAATCGAGGAGATTCTAATTTCGGTTAAAAAAGTAAAACTGTTTTATAATTTCATTTTAGTTTTCTTACAAAAAGTTTTATGGTTTTCGATATTGATCTGATTTTAGCTTAAAGATTATATTAAGTGCCAAATTATTGTATGTATTAACACACGAACATAGAAAACTATCGTACAGTTCATTTGTATTTATTATAAAAAGAGAGGAATGAAACATATTATTCGAAATGTACTGTGCCATTAGATGTGCAGAGAAAGCAATGGTATGTGTACGTTACCGTTAAGCCAAGTAAAGTGAACATACATACATTATTTTTCCATAACGCTTTACACCAATTTAATGATCAAATTTCGACTAGACGCAATATCTAGAGTATTAAGGTTATAGGTTCTCGCTCTAAATTTTCTTCTTACATATTTTTTTTGTGTTCTGTGGTAATGGGCAATATTTTACAGCTGTGGGCGCATGGGCTCTGGGTACACGCCTTGGATGCTTAAATGACGACGACACCGACGCTCGGGACATAATCAGAAGCATCCACGGCTTCTTCCATAGCGTTCCAGAGCTCGAACTCTCCGCCCCATTGTGGCGGTTGTATCCGACAATGGCTTACAAAACATACGTAGATGCATTAGACACCTTCAGATCGCTCTGTTTAAGAAGAATGACTGATAAGGGTATTTGCGGACACATTGCCAAAACATACGGCACGAAGTTTGCCACCATATTGGCTTTGGATTTGATGTTAGTTGGTGTGGATACCACGGCGGCAGCAGCTGCAAGCACCATATATTTATTAGCTACTAATAAAAGGGCACAAAAGAGATTGCAAGGCGAACTCGACGCGAATATTGCCATAGACCGAGTGCTTACGAGTAAAGATTTAGATCAGCTACCATACCTACGAGCTTGTATAAAAGAAGCTTTGAGGTAAGATTTTTGCTGACTATTCAGTTCAGTATTTAAATATGTTTATTGAAATTATACATGTGATTTACTACTTACATCTTTTATTAAATTTAATAGAATTAAAGAACGCGAAGTACATAAGTAACTTTATAATAAACAATTTTTTATGACTGACGGGTAGTTTTCTGCCGATTTCAAAAAAGGAGACGGTACTCAATATGACTGTATGTTTTTTATGTGTGTTACCTCATAACTTTTTACTGGGTGAATCGATTTTCGATTTTTTGAAAGCTGGTACTTCTCGTGTGGTTCCATATGAATTTGATCAAGGTTAGACCAATAGTTTTTGAGTTATTTTTAATAACTCATATTGAAGTCGGCTGTACAAAATTTTTAATTTTAAATTATTCTCTGTTTAATCGTAATACCTGAATGTATCCTGCAGACAAGTCGCCAGCTTAGCTTGTTATTAATACTTCGTAATAACAGCCTAGAAATGTAATCAGTTGTTAGCCACCGTTCGTAAGACATGTGATGTAATACGATCTCTTTAGCAATGGCAATACAACGGATGAATTATTAATAATATTTAATTTATTGAGCTCCACTGTTAACACAAGAAATTATATAAATCATGATATATAATAAAATAAAATATACTACGTGATTAATAAAATTTTATTAAATATAATGATTAAAACGAATCTGATTTGGCATTGTAAAATATTAACATTGGCCGTGAGAGTCCACGGCCAATGTTAACATTGATGTTTCGCATTGATTTTTTATAATTAGAAATGTGCTAAATCCTGACCTCTATCTGTCCCGAAGGCAAAGATGAGAATTGGATGGAACGAGTTTGTCCAGAAGAAGCCTGTTAATTTTTTTTAGTTTTGTACGGGGGATTTAATATAATTGCACGGTTATAATATTAAACCCTCGACTTTGTAAAGCCAGGTGATTTGCGATCAATTAAAAATTTTAATAGTACCTGAGTTATGTAAATTGAAACCACCTTACTATAGTAAAACAGTGTAACAGGAGTATCGCTCCTTATATCAGATATCAATTGTGGTAGTTGTGGTATTGTAAATTTATAACGTGTAATATACGCCTACGCAGAAATACTTTGTTTCGTCACGCTTGGTTTCATCAACACCACGACTACCACGACAGAGTTAATAAATTAAACAATTTTGTATAAAACACTACTAGCTTTACTCACTAGAACTATAAGTAGCAATGAAAAATTTTATAAGAATACACTAACGCGATATTTTTCGCTAACATATTATATACTAGCTGTTCCCCGCGACTTCGCCCGCGTACAATTTAGGGTTTTAATTGATTTGCGCGGGACCCTAATTCTTTTTCTAAAATAATTTTAGCCTAAGTTACTCCTTATAACATCCGCTATCTGCCAGTGAAAGTCCCGTCAAAATCGGTCCAGCCACTTCTGAGATTAGCCGGAACAGACAGACAGACAGACATACAGACAAACATTTTAAAAATTGTGTTTTTGTTTTAAATACCGTATACACTTTCATATGTATTTAGTAAAAAGCTGTTATTTTGATATTACAAACAGACACTTTAATTTTATTTATTTGTATGTATAGATAATATTTTTAATAATTATTTCAATAAATATTATTAGATTTGTACATAATCAAAGTAATATTAAAATGTACATTTTCTCTGTTATAGAATAAAACCTGTGATATTGGGTAACGGAAGATGCATTCAATCTAATACGGTTATATCCGGATATGAAGTCCCAAAAGGAGTGAGTATTATCTCATATTATATTAAAAAAAAAATTGTTTGTTTGTTCGTCTTCTATACTTTCCTATAGCATTTTTCTGATTAAGAAAAAACTTTTTTGACTTGATGTACACACGCTCGCGTTTTCTGACCAAGAAGAGATACTAATAGAATTTTACTATTCGCAACGCACTATATAATGAAAAGGCTTCCTGGTTATTTTCGATCGCTATCACAGTTTATGGTTAAATTTTAGTAACATTTACTGATCGCAAATGAACCCGTCCATGTGTGGTTATTACTTGGGAGACCTTTGCCCAGCAGTGGCGTTCTTTGTCTGAGGTGATAAGGAATTTATTAATATACTAGCTGTCCCTCGCGATTTCGCCCGCGTAGAATTTACTACGATTTCAAGGGTTTTTATTTTTTTTTGCGCGGAACCCTGATTCTTTTTCTACAATAAAAGTATCCTAAGTTACTCCTTATACATCAGCTATCTGCCAGGGAAAGTCCCGTCAAAATCGGTCCAGCCGTTTCGGAGATTAGCCCGAACAAATAGACAGACAGACAGACAAAAATGTTAAAAATTGTGTTTTTGTTATACGTACCGTATATATACTTTCATATGCATTTAGTAAAAAGCTGTTATTTTAACATTACAAACAAACACTTCAGTTTTATTTATTTGTATAGATTATATTTAACTTCAGACTAATGTGCAATCCTAGTCTCGCAAAAACTCGAAAATGGCTGGACCGATTTTGATGAAAGTTTTTGTGTTGGTGTGGGTCCCTGGATGGGTTAGATTCACAATTATTGGACCCAGTAGGAAGCGCTGTTGTCGAGATCCAAAAATCACCCGTGCGACGCCGGGGCGGATCGCTAGTTAACTTAATGTAATCATAAAATAATTACTATTTAATACTACCTTTCAGTCCCAGTACCTTTTAGCTCTTATCAAGTTCACATTTTAAATAATCTAATTCCAGTGCCACGTTGTATTCCCGCATTATATACTATCAAATGACGAGCGGTATTTTCCATCGCCAGAAGAATATGTTCCCGAAAGATGGCTGAGAGAAGATTTAATTGAAAAAAATGGAACAAACAAGCAGAATAATGGAAAAGAGTTTGATTCTTTTAAAACAAAAGGGCAGATATCATTAGAATACTTAGATGAAATAAAGCAGGGGTCGATAGAATGTCAGCACGCAAGAACAATGTCAATATGGCGGAAACAAAAGGAACTAGGTATCCACCCCTTCGCGTCTCTCCCCTTCGGCTTCGGTCGTCGTATGTGTATCGGAAAAAGATTTGCAGAAGCCGAACTGCAACTACTGCTGGCTAAGGTAAGGTTTGAAAGCTATTGGTAAAACCCTATACACATTTACCAAACATTTAAGCCCTGTGTTATATGTGTGGATAAATGAAACTGATAGGGCGATATTTCAGGTTTACCTCTTTTGTTTTGGCAAAAGTTGTGATTACGATATAATAGCAGCATCGAAAGAAATATAGTCGACAGACGTTAAACTTATTTTGCGATTTTAGATCATGTAAATCTAGACGAACCTTTGGTATATAACGAAGAAACATTTAATAAGTTCAAAGCTTACCACACAAATTTTATGTCAATAGACTTTGTACATTATTTACTAATATATCAAGCTGAAACTATATACTTTTATTACAAAATCTGATTTATGCCATGTTTAAAAACTTTATTAAAAAGTTTGTATAAAAGGGTCATTATAATATTGCGCAATTTATGGATAATGGAAATGAGATGATCACTACCAAGCGATTTCTAATTTGTTTTGTGTTGTTAATTGTAAACTGTTTTTTAAGGTCCCTCTGTGTTTCTTGCTGGTTCTTCCCAGGGCAGGTTTTTTCCGAACCAGTGATAAATTAAAAATAAAAGAGTGACTTTCAATCAGTATTATTTATAATCTATATTGAATAAAAAAAATCTGTTTCTGTTACGAAACACCTGTACGATATAATTTAATTCACGAGTATGGGCGTAAATCAGCCGGTTAATTGGACGGTCAGGCCGTTTTTAAACGGCAGCATTAAACTAAATGCTTAGCCTATTAGATGAATACATTACCGCGTATAAAGTTTCGGTTGACCGAAAGTTAGCCCTTTTGGTACGATTGTGTAAAAAGACGCCAAGTCGTTTAATAAATGTAGTACCTTTTTCTGCCAATGGGACGCAAACTGCTATTTTACAAATTTTATTTTATTGAATAAGGGTGATAAACGAGCACACAGTCCACGTGATGGTAAGTGGATGCACACAGTTCACCTGATGGTAAGTTGATGTCACAGGCATCTAAATTTATCCTCAATTAAGAATACAAATGCAGATGCGTTGTCGCCCCTGAGAACTAAGATAGAATGCCTCGTTTCCATTAAAAAGATCGCGTCAACAGCTGAACAATTTTAACAATCGAACACATGGATTTGCCTATGATACAATAAAATGTCAAAAATCATTTTGAGCTAAAACCGCTGCCAATTCCTGACCACAACTGTGATAAATTTATTTAACCAGATGGCTAAGCATTGGCTTGCCCTTTTGTTAAACGTTAAGCGATTTGAAGCTGTATTTAGTAATTCAATTGAATGCATGCGTTCGACTAAATAGCAAGCCTTCCAATTAACCGGCTAATTAAACAATTAGGCTGCAAAAACGCTTTATAGACAATTTTCTAAAATATAAAATCTATAGTAAGCTACTTTTAAATATTTCGCAACAGGAAAAAAGTGTAATTAAAATATGTTTCAGATGTTCCATAAATACGAGGTGCTGTGGCGCTACGGTGAGCTGACGTACAGCGTCACGCCGACATACATACCGAACGAGCCCCTGCGGTTTACATTGAAGCCGAGGCAGAAAACAACGAATGTTTACGAATAATTTTAGTTACTGTGCAAATCCTTCGTCAGTAATATTCATATTTGAAAAACTAAGTTTGATGATTATAATGCTGGTCGCTGCATACCATACGCTACCTACAATTCTAGAAAGGCGATAAAAGATGCTTAGATATACTATTTACACAAGTAACCTATTTTAGAAAGAATGTTTCCCCAAGGAATGCCTCAAAGCACGGTCCTGAGCTACCTGTACCCATCGACTGTCTGCATCTCTTACCAGGTGGTCACTCCATCTATTGGGGCCACTCAAGTTCGAGAACATTTCTTACCTAGGTCACTGATCCGTTGGGCTATGTCGGACTAGTGACCGACGTAGTCGTGATGTTCTACAGCGAATATCCACACTACGAAGTGTATCACGCAGAGAAACTCCGAGCATAGCCTTTGCAGTAGCTAGCTGAATAACCTTAAGCTTCCTCATACGGCTAGCAGACAAGGAATCACGTGTCTTGAAATTCAATTAAATCAATGAATACAAAGAAAGTTTAGCTTAAAACGTTATACATAAGGATATTTATAAGTATTCTATTTTTCTAAGTATTCACTATCTTTAAGTAAGACTGCATTAGCTTAAGAATGTATTTTTACATACAAAGATTCGTTACACAAAGTACCTACATTAGATTATTTTGTAGATAAAAATATTATACAACTGAATTAGGTCATAGGGGTGTACCATAACAAACAAACACCTAACTAGATAATATAATTAATTATCTTTTATTGAAATAAATTACTTAAAGGCTGATAACTACATTGTTGTGTTTCTAATCATATTAAATTTATCATTTATGAGTAATCGGAATGAGTTAAACTGGGAATAAGTCCAACATTTGGTTACAAACAAATATTTATAACCAGTATCAAATACATCATAAATTTAGCTTAACGTCTTATAGTTTTTCTTAGTACTATAAATTTTAATAAGAATATATGTGACAGTAATTCTCACCCCAACGAAGTTTAGAGTATAGTAGTAAATAGTGGGTGCTTTAGGCTAAACCAGTCTTAAATATGCCGTACAGTTGCAATCTTGGACATACCTAATCGAACATATATTACTTTTACCTCGACCTTTCATTAAGTGCTTATAAATCCCTATCACAGAGTTAAAAACATAATATAAAAAAAGTTTAGCGCGCGACGATTCCGCTGAATTGTAAGAGACCTTTCAACACTTATCTCGCCTACGCTCTATCCAACCCAACTCATTGACAATACGCTTTATCACAAGTCACACCACATCGTTAGTTAAAACTTTGATCTTTAACCAGCGGCGATTCTCTCATAATATCGCATTTTTTTCTACCTTTAAATAAATTCACAACCTCTGGGCCTACGATACGTTCTTGCCCGCGTTAAAACGAAGAACCAGCGAATTTAACTTTTATCCTCGCATACTAAGGCTAGAAAGATGTAAAATGATGATTTATATTAATTCATTATGTTGACGGGTCAAGCATTTTGAAAAACATTGGTCAAAACTCAGGAAAAAGGGGTATTTTAAATTAAAGTTACTCGAGTACGAGGAGCGTTCATAGTAAACAAGCAAACGGAGTTTTAGTACTACTCCATTAAATTATCAATAATAGTGGTCAGTGCCCAGCAGTAGGGCATATACATATAAGTTTTATTTTTACTGACTGTTTACATATTAACTTTTAAAAATTCACACATTCACATTAATGTACCTTTTTAGATGACATTGGCTGTCACCTTAAACTTGTGAACTTGTCCATTCAAGTTGGTAAATAATTAAAATTTACAAAAAGTAAAAAACAACTTCAAATCTAAAAAAAATATAATTTCTACTGAGTCGGCGCCAAGTCACAGACGATCCATTCGGTCTCACCGCTTATTTAAGAGACTAGGACGTTGAAATTATTTCATTCTTTTTTAATGGTTGCAGTTATTTTCTACTTTTTAAAACTTTCATTTTAGTTCCAAAATCAAATATAACAAAAAAAAGCTTCACAATCATATTATAAGTAAAATATTTTTTTTTAACGAAACTTGTTTTCTAACTGCATTATATTATCAAAATTAAACAAGGTCTCGAAAATGCCGAAACTTTGGTTTAGTTTTCATACTCAATCTACAAATAAAATCACTTACTATTTCGCGGAGTCATTGAGCTGGTATTCGTTAGAGCGGCCGAAGCACTCTTGCACCCCGGAGTCCGCCCACAGCCTCTTCATCGCCGCAAGGAGCTCCTCGCTGAACGGTTCCGTGTCCTCCATTCGTTGGATCACGTCGAACACCATCTTGCCGTCGCTCTAAAACAATGTGTCGAATGAATAAGGAGCTATACCAAAGAAGCGTAATAGAATATCTGATTTTTTATGAGTTTTGACATAAAAAAGCATTCGTGCTCCACAAAAGTCGAATGGTGTTAAAATAAGAAAATATAAATACTGACTGGTAAAGCTGAAATATTTGTAAGTAATTTTAAAAAAAAATAACCTTATTATCGTTTACACTATCATTTTACCCTTACATAGTAGGGGATAACCATGACTATGATATAGTATTACTTGCTGATGACACGTCTTTAACTTTCAAATTAAGACGACAATGACTAAAATATGACGAAGTAAATAATGCTATATCTAAATTAGTAAATTGGTTCAATGTTAATAATTTGCATTTAAATGGCACTAAAACGAAATGTATGAAATTCATGACTCCAAATGTCAAACAATTAACTACTAATGTAATTTTAAATGGGGAGAAACTGAGCCTTGTAGATACCACCATTTTCTTGGAATCACACTAGACGCGAAGATTCAATGGGGCTCCCATATATCAAAACTAGCAAGCAGACTTAGTTCTGCAGCATATGCTTACAGCATATAAGATTAGAAATCTAACTAGTGTTGAAACAGCTAGACTAGTTTACTTTAGCTAGCTTTAGCATAATGTCTTATGGTATTTTGCTATGGGGACACGCGACTAACACTTAAATTATATTTGTTTCACAGAAGAGAGCCATCTATGATCTAAAGCCTAAAGAGTCGCTGCGACAAAAATTTAAGGAAATTTTCCATCGCCATTCCCATCGTATTGAGAGAATACACTTATGAAAATGTAATGTACGTACACAAAAATAAAAGTAATTTTACAAAACTAAGTGGTATTCTTTCTGTAAATACTAGGAACACGCACAAGCTAGTAGTACCAGTTACTTGACTCCACCGAGTCAGTAATTCATTCTTGGGGGCGATGTATATGCTTTTAAAACATTCTAGAAAAATATAAAAATTCTAGAAAATATACAAAATTTGACCCGGTCAAAGTTCAAAAACTTGTATAAAAGGGGTTTTAATGGATGTTTTAATAACCCCTGGGAATGAGGTGATCCAAGCTATTTCTAATTTGTTTTGTGTTGTTAATTGTGTAAGTGTAATGTACATGATTGTAAGGTGTTATTTTAAAAAAAAAGTCCCGCTGGGTTTCTTGCTGGTTCTTCCCAGGACAGAGGTTCTTTTTTCGTACCAGTGGTAGCTAAACAAAAGAGTGACTTCAATAAGTATTATTTATAATCTATATTGAATAAAACAGTTTTCGTTTCTGTTTCTGTTTGTTTAAAAAAATACAAATAATATGCGGTTTGCTGTAGCGTTTTGGCGGAAATGGATAAAGTTTAACCTTGATTAAGTATTTATGCTTAAAAAAATTCACTATGAAACAAGCAAATTAAGATATACAAGACGTATACTATAGTTACACTATGATGATGATGCTTGATGGATGTTCCATCTCTCTTGAAATATGACCTTCGCTTAGGGCGTCCCACGATAGCAGTGACCGAAGAAATTCCAGGATTAGATCAGTGTCACAAATATGTTGTATTTCTGAAGAAACAAAGATTTCGACAGGCAATGTACATACAATGAACGCATAGGGACGAAAAAACTACTTAAAAAACGCAGAAACATCCAGAATAAATATTTCTCGAGGATTTTTGGAACTGTAGCAACAAGATCTTGAACGTTTTTTGGTTGTTCGGCTCAATTTATAACAACAGACGCAGTAAAGCTTTAATACTTACGATCCCAAATTAAAAAATACAGGTTACGATTGAAAAGATCATCAAAATCCCAAGAAATTCAAGGTGAGTCTTTCGCCGTTAATATCATGGGGCTTTCTCTTTTGGGATAGTTTAAAGGTTAATATGTCGATCATGAAGCTACTGTTACAGGTATTTTGTATGCAGAATAAATAAAAAAATTGTGCAATAAAATCGACGAAAAACGGCGAGACAAACTCGCAAAGATTTTGTTTACTAAGATAACGACCCGAAGCACAAGTCTGTTGCGTGTCTGCGATTCAAGACCTTGACCTGGAGGCCTTGCAACTAATTTTTTATCCGTTTTCGAGACTAAAGGGAAACTCAGGGGATACAAATTTGAAGATAATGAAGTAGTTGTCCCAGCTGTACAGGAATTTTCAGATACTTAAAAAGAGTGAAGATTAAGGATGGAAATTTCAAACTTAGGAAAAACATACTATATTTCAAGTGTCTCTTCAATCTTTATATTTAAAATTCTTCTGTCCGTGTATATGTGACTGAACTCCTACTAAATGCCTGGACCGATGTTGATGAAATTTTGTGTGTGATTCGATGTTGATGAAGTTGATCAGATTATGGTTTAAATTCACAATAGAACCCGGTAGATCGCATTAATGCCGAGATTTAGAAATCACCCGTGCGAAGCCGGGGCGGATCGCTAAAATTTTATAAAAAAATACATGTAATATATTAATTTCCACTTTTATTTAACAAAAATCTACAGCGTTCAAAATCTGAACGAATATATACATTTTCAACAAAATTTATACATACAATAATAATTTTGTTTTCCTCGTGTTCCTTTAAAAAGCTTAGCATCCTTTTAAAAACGTTTCTTATTCAAAAGAAACGTCTTTCGACAGTGACAAACGAAATTTTAATGTTATGTTAACATCGAAAAAATAAAGAAATAAAGAACACATGGAAATTACGAAAACGGATCATGTCTAGAATCGGACAACGATCAAAATTAGCAATCAATCAATCAACGGAAGATCTCTCAAAATATAGAAGAGCGGAAACGCTATCGATTTCAACCATAATTTTAATTTTTAAGTTTGCCGGTAAGCGTGGCGTGTATATTATCACATTTACCACGGGGAGAGCTCTGAGGAATTGTTCGGACTAATTCCAGCAGCTCAATTTTACCATCGCACATCGCGACAAAACTCGCGATACCATCCATGCCATCTGGATAATTGGCGGTCCACCACTGTACGATTTAGAAGAAGTTTTCTTCCTCGTACAATTTCCTTGTGGAATCGATTAAAAGCAGCGATTTTTCCGGACCGATAAGACTTAGGGACCTTCAAGAAAAGAGCCCAATCCTTTTTAAAAGGCCGCCAACGCATTTGCAATTCCCCTGGTGTTGCGGCTGTTCATGGGCGGCGGTATTTACTTACCATCATGTGAGCCGCATGCTCGTTTGTCCTCTCTCTTATAAAAAAAGCGTGGTAGTACATAGCATATCAAGTGTTTAGGCTATAATAATATCCCTTCGTAGAGTTGCAGTTTATAGCAAAATTTTATTCCTTCATTTCGCCATCGACTTATAGCTGATGTTATTCAGTCCCATTTTCAGATTTTACAATACAACATTAGTGGCTTAAGTAGGCGTAGTTTTCATTAGTGGTAGAGTCGGGTCGACTATGGAAGGACCACGTTCTCACAGAATACCAGCGTAAAATAACAGTTTCGTATGGTGAGAGAAGAAAACCGGAGACCCCTTTTATTGGAATCGAGACATTCCTACTTAGCGCTCAGGGATGACACGCATCTGTATTTTGATTCTTAATCGTAATTAGTTGTGGATGTCTGTGAGCCACTGCCATAAAAATAAATTTAATTTATTTATCAAAATTTGATAAGTTCGACGACGTGTTCATATGTCAATATAGTCAATAAATTGTATTTTTTTATACAAAAAATTTCTTTAACTGAGTTTTTACCCTAGGAACTACGCCTTAGTAAGATGGTGGTTACCCTTGCCATTACGGTTAAGTTGATAGAAAAAAGTAATAAAAAACCCTATCAAAAAAATAAATCAAATTTAAAGAAAATATGTTAAATACCATATTATAAGCATTAGTAAGAATTACATTACGTATATAAGAACTATGGTTCTTACGTACGTATACGAATTTGTTTTATACCAAGTTATCGTTTGATCGTGAAGTTTACATTAGTGAGCCAATGAAGGACTTTGAAAGAAGTGCTCGCGTCGCGTCCTCTGACAGTAGATTTAAAGTACCACGTCTTTTGAGGCATAATGTAAACCAAATTCTTATCAGTGGTGACTCGTAACGTTGTTTTTGTCGAAACTAATTATCCGGCTGACGAATACTTTTTTTTATTATTCGGTAACCGTGCGCATAGCATAATCTTATTTTATTTCTCGGGCTTTTTGTACTATTTGACTTTTTTACTTCTTACTCTTTTCTACCTTGACTTCAACTAGTGTAGCCGATTGTGGTTGGATAAATTTAGGTTAAAAAATTAAAAGTCAAAGTTACAACCTATACATCCCACTGCCGGGCATAGGGCTCCCCTCATTTCTGAGAGGGTTTTAGGGCAAGGAAATGTCCGCCGCGCTGCCCCAATCACCCTAATTGCGTGGTAGCGAACTTCACGTCTTCGGTTATTTTTATTTTTTTTACTTAGGTATATTTGATTTATTCATGGTACGGGTAATGGTAGAAGAAATAATAATCCTTGGTTTTTTACCTTGGTTTACTTAGAATTGCCAATGCATTTTGGGTAGCCTAAACTAAAAACTGAGAACATTCATATCCCAGATAAATGTATGTTATATGAATGTCCTCAGTTTTATTTGTAAATAAATTCCGTGTTTTGTATTTTTTAGAAAGGTAACAAAAGCTGTAGTTATTTATATATTTTAATTATTATTTGGACCTAACTAGTTTCAGCCAAAAGCAACTTTAAGCCATGAATAAATCGAATAAACCTAAGTTTAAACAACAGCAATCAGCTGAGCCTACTTGGAGCCGGCTAAATCTGAATAAATCGTATATTTTTTTTCTTATTAGTCAATTTGTTGTTCTTTTAAAAATTTTGTGATAAAGTATGCGTTTTATAATAATAGTAAACTTAAGAACTAGATTCGTGATTTCGTACAATACTAGTTATTCGTATTAATATATCGTATCCATTGAGATTTGTGATTAGCACAGAAAAAGAACAGAA